CTACATTGCGGTTTTGGCTCTCTTGTACATCATAAGTACGTCAGTGTGTCTTTGGGGAGCATGTGTGCCTGTCCTTTGGGGTTAGCAGGCGTTTTGTAAGTTGCACATTGTTTTGTGTTCGTCATTTTGCTCTCATTATGCTCTGCAGAACCTGCGTTGGATGGCCCCAGAGGTGTTTACCCAATGTACACGCTACACGGTGAAAGCGGACATGTTCAGCTATGCTCTCTGCCTGTGGGAGCTGCTCACAGGGGAGATTCCATTCGCACATCTCAAACCAGGCAGTGCACTGTGATACCTAAAACTGACCCTCAATGCCCTTTAGACTGGGTTATATCATTTAATTTTCTCTGTATTTTGAACTTTTTATGAGTTTTTCGTCTTTATTTTCAAGTTGATTAACAAAATATGAATTATAAAATACTAAAAATGAAAATGTACTCATCCTCAGGCCATCCCAGATATAGATGGGTTTGTTTTGTGATTCAAACAGATTTGGAGAAATTTTGCATTACTTGCTCACCAGTGGATCCTCTGCAGTGAATGAGTGCCGTCAGAAACAAGCAGTCCAAAAAGCTGATAAAAACATTGCAATAATCCACATGAATCCAGTCCAATTAACTTCTTGTGAATCTAAAAACTGTTCATAATAAACAAATTTAGCATTAAGATGTTTTTTTAACTTGAAACCATTTCTTTCAGTGGAGGAAGCGTTTCTATAGAATATGGAGTTGTATTTTTGCCAGAAGCGACTGTTTAAATTTAAAGGGTTAGTTCACCCAAAAATGAAATTTACCCCATGATTTACTTACCCTCAAGCCATCCTAGATGTATATGACTTTCTTCTTTCAGGCGAATACAGTCGGAGTTATATTAAAAAACATCCTGGCTCTTCCAAGCTTTATAATGGGAGTGGATGGTAGCCCAAAATTTGAAGTTCAAAAAATGGAACCAATTCATTATAAATGAAGTCCACACGGCTCCGGGGGGTTAATAAAGGCCTCCCGAAGCGAAACGAAGCTTTTGTGTAAGAAAAATATCCATATTTACAACTTTATAAACCTTAATCTCTAACTTTCAAACTAACTGTCGTACGCGCAGGTACGTAAAATCATGGGGTAATTTTCATTTTTGGCTGAACTATCCCTTTAAATTGCTTTAATAATGGATTTGTTTATTACACACATGCAGCTTTTCACTTCATAAGACGTTAATTGATGGACTTGAGTGATGTGGATTATTGTGATGTTTTTATCAGCTGTTTGGACTCTCATTCTGACGGCACCCATTCACTGAAGAGGATCTACTGGTGAGCAAGTGATATAATGCTACATTTCTCCAAACCTGTTCTGATGAACAAACAAGTCATGTACATCTTGGATAGCCTTAGTACATTTTCATTTTCTGGGTGAACTATTCCATTAAAAATATGATGAAATATTAAAACAGATGAAAATATATATTTCAATTAAATCATCAAAAAAGTGTATTAATATTATAATAATATAGAAATTTGAATTAAAAAGGTCTCACTCTCATCTCTGTGAACTCTTTACAGCTGCAGCTGCTGCAGATATGGCGTATCATCATGTCCGCCTTCCTATCGGATACTCGATTCCCAAACCCATCTCAGCACTGCTGATGAGAGGCTGGAATGTCTGTCCAGTGGTGAGTGACCCACATCCAGCCCAAAACATGCTCAGAAAAGAAGTAGGTTTATCAAGAGATATGCACACTTATTTTAAATGCATGTAAAAAAAATTATAAAAAATCACTATGAAATTAGATTAGTTGCTTTTCCAGTTTAAATTCTAACATTTAGTTGCTTGCTTTCTAGGTAAAGAGGTGAGATAAACCACTCAAATTTTTGCAAGTACATAAAGCATCATTTAAAAAAAAAAGTTGAACCAAAGTTGAAATAAAGAGCTTAAACTAATTTAGAAATATCCAAATTCATATGGCCCTATTAAATCCATTCATGAACTACTACTCTGTGCCACTGAGTCTGTTTATAATCAGTTAGATTACCCAGAATGCCTTATCTCTGTAGCTCAGGACAAGTTGTATTTCTGTTTCTGAGCATCTAGTTGCTAGCCTACCGTGTCTCTCTACAACAAACCTGTGCCAGGTGTTATTTCTTATATACAGCGTCTTTGCAATGTTCTCAGCGCTGGTCCCTCAGGTGCGGGGCTGAAACTGTGTCAAGCGTGCTTGTTAGGAATGTGCCCTGGTACCAAGTGCGGCTTTCCACTATTCTCTGGAGCACAGAGCTTTTGCTGAGCAACACTTTAAAAGAGCCAGGATGCCAACAGCTTGTACGGTGCTTTCATTTAGTGTCGCTTAAAGAGATGAACAAGATTCAGTTTTAAATAACTGCTTTATATTTTAATACACGACTTTTATATTTAAATAATGTCATTTATTCCTGTAATTGTCAGCAGCCATTACTTCAGTCTTCAGTGTCACATGATCCTTCAGAAATCATTCTGATATGCAGATTTGCATAATCTTTTCAACCCTGTTTCCTAATCATTTCAACGGTGGTGTATATATGGTCTTCATGGTCTTTGTAATTCTCGTTAAAGTCTCGTTTCTCTGATGAAGTACTGTGTCTGGTCTTTTGAAGTCCTTCACTCTGAATGATGCTTGGGCAGCGATCAGCGAGTCCTCTTCAGAGGAGCAGCTGATTGGATAGCCAGAGATTATTTCCTGTAATTCAACTAAACCTCTCTGATGAAAATCCCCTATTTTTGACTCTCTCTGACAGGAAAGACCCGAGTTTTCGGAAGTGGTCGCTAAACTAGAGGAATGCCTGTGTAACGTGGAGGTAGCATACATGCACATATCTACTATACATTGTTATTCTATTAGTCCAGTACTTATTCATATTTCTATGTGTGTCCAGCTAATGTCTCCAGCCTCCAGTAACAGCAGTGGTTCTCTTTCACCCTCATCCTCCACTGACTGCCTGGTAGCACGTGGTAGTCCTGGACGAAGTCACGTAGCTGCCCTTCGCTCGCGTTTCGAGTTGGAATATGCCCTCAACGCCCATGCCTATGCATTTTGGACCCAAAAGTACACAAATCTATGACAAACCTACATACTATCCAAGAATGAGACTGTGATTTTGCAAACTGAGTTGTATTTGCTAGGAAAAGCCTCCCACCAACTTATCGCCAAACTACATTAGTGAGAAAACAAATATGAATTTAAATAGAGGCCATTGTGTCATACCCATACATTAATGGAGGAGTCAGGTCACCTTGCTCTTTTGTTTGGTCACTCAGTGCCATGCAGTCCAACCACAACACTTCTGTACAGTCTGAAGTGCTGTTGCTTGGAAACCAAGGCATGAAAACAAAAGAAAGCAACTGCAATGAAGCTTGCATGACATTCACACTGAGAACCTTTGCTGGTGGTCGCCTCTTAATTCTTTATGGGTGGTGATGAATGCGTGTGTGTTTTGGAGGAACCTGGCAACTGTCAACAAAACCGCCAGCTGAGAAATTACTAGAAGGGACTCCTGCTTTGGAGCCTAATTTAGTCATAATCTTTGCAATATGATGTTTTATGTAACCAGATCTAGCAATGTATGCAGTTTGGTGGTATGAGCAATAAATCAGGCTAAAGTGACACTGTGAATGACTAAATAGAAAACAAATTCAATAGAGGATCATCTGAGCAGGACAAACCCTGCAAGGCCTCATTGAGCTGATATGACAACAACAAAGCAACAGAAGTTTATCCTATCTAGCATCATTAAAATTTCATATCGCAGAAGAATCGTGCTTGTTCTGTGGTCTTTAGTGTAAACCAATACTGATCGCATTGTTGATTCAATCCTTTCTTTTATTTTGACAGCTCTGGTCGGAGGTCTTCACAGGGCTTGTCCCTGGATGAGCTGAGGAGGAACATGCAGTTCCCACCCATTGACCGAAACGGTTCGTGTCCAACTGGAAATGACTATCAAACGTGTGACTCATCTGTTTATGTAACAGCTTAATGGGGGAGCAACATTGTTTTTCATTTTAATTCACATAGAATATGGCAACAATCATGTTGATATAATCCATGCAAATTTGTTTTGAAGTTAACATGACATTTTCACAAAGACGAGAGCACTGTGTGCGTGTCAGCATATGGTGCAACAAGTGGGTGGTTGTATTAGAGTGCGTGTCAGTCACTGTGTTCCGTGCTGTTCCCGCAGGATATGTGTCAGATCCCATGAGCACCATGCGTTTCCATTCATGCAGCAGCAATGGAAGTTTTGAGGACAGCAACTAGAAGCAGCAACTCTCTGAAGAACATCACACGCAAACACACTTGCATACATGACATGTCTGATTACCATAATTGTGAGTTTTCGACTTTTAAAAACCACTGTTCACATTGTTGTCAAAGTCGTAATGTTCAAAGAGCTCCGACTTCTTTCAACCAAAATGGCACGACAAACATGAATCAAAACCTCACAATGAGTCATTTGGCAAATAAGAGTGTTATTAAAGAAACAAATAGTTCAGAGGTCAGAGAGCGAGAACAGCTCAGAGTAGAATATCAGAATTGTCAACTTGTAATTATTATGGTGAACGCACCATATTTAGTCTAAGGACACATAACACTCAATTTGGATGATTTGTTTTCTTTTCTTTTTTGTTATTTTTCAGGCATTGTGTGTACTTTTGTATAAGAATGATGATTTAAACATACTTATTATACAGTTATACATTTTCATTATGCATACTATTATCTCAAAGTTTTGATTTCAAAGTCAAAACTTTTATTTTTATCGTTTTATCGTTTTTTATATTGTGTTTGGTGTTTCAGTGTCGAGTAAGTATCTGGTAGAGCAGGACAAATAAGTGTATTTCAGTATTTTATTCTAATTTCAAAAGCAAACAGCTTTTTTAGACAAATAAGCCAGCATGTGAAACAGGAACTTGACAAGATCATGACTGATGTCACCTAACAACACCTCGCCTTGCTTGTGGGATCGAAACATCTCAAGTTTTGATTTTAACTCCAATGATCTGTATGAATATGATAAGAAACAAAGACGGTATCATAGCAATCACACTATGCATCTGCATATTAAAGTGTTCCGGATACTAATCAGGAACACAGAGGAAAGTGCAAGCATTGAGGTTTTAGTTCAATTCTCTTAGTTAAGTTCTGAAGTATGTCAGTATACTGCTAGTGCAGCCTCACCAACTGGAGGGCTCTGCATCATGAATAATTAAATTATTTGTGCTGTGCAGTCCTACGGTGTCTATTTTCAGTGGGCTGTTGATAGCTTCTCTACCAAGCACACAGGACTCACTATGGGTCTCTGATAAGGAAAAGGCAGTGCCACTATTGTAAACCCATTAATATGGGTCCAATCCTGCTCCTGGAAGGCCAATGTCTTGCAGAGTTCAGTTCAAACTTGCCCCGACACACCTGTCTGGAAGTTCTAGTAATCCTGAAGACCCTGATTAACTGGTTCAGATATGTGTAATTGGGGTTGGACCTAAACTCGGCAGAACAGGAGAAGGATTGGACACCCCTGGGTTAGCTGAAGGATTTACTATTGTTCTAATAACTGTTCTCCGTGTGAGCAGTCGTTAATCTTGGATATCCTGCGGGCCCAAAAAACCTTGCGTCGTCCAATGAGAAAGTGCTTAAAGTGTCTATGCTGCTGAGAGTCTGTTTTAAATGACCATCGATTACTTTCGTTCTCCTGTTTCCATCCGACTGTCTGGAATGGAAGTCTACACTTGCAGTGTCATCTTGGCTTCCGTTTTCCGATTTATTGATGATTTTGAGGTCTGTAATTACTGTGATTGTCGGACTCTGAGGCTCGATACACTCTGTCTGAGATACATGTTCAGGTTGCAAATTGTGTTCTGAACTCTCCAGGGTCTCTTTGTTACTTGCTTCCTCTGTTTGGGATAAATGCGTGGTTTCATCAGTCATATTTTGTTGATTACTTCTTTCTGACTCTTTTCCATTCAGGTCAACATTCGTCGGTACATCCTGATGTTCTGTTTCAGATGGTGCTCGCTCTTGAATGTCTTCAGATGTTGCTGTTGTCCCTAGGTTTATGACATCATCTGATATTGAAGTTTCCTGTCCAGCAATGTCTTTTTGATTGATCTGTTCTTCATTACTCTGTCTTGACCAAGTAGTGACCAAAGAACCTTTAGCATCTCCAGCCTCCTGGACTCTTTCATCTTTGGTTGAGGTATGTATGCTGTCTTTGGAGTGATTACTGTGAGCATCTGCTTCTATGGCCTCAGCTTTGGTCTCTGTTTTCAAGCTTTCAACTACAGACTCTGTGTTCTCATTGAGATTTTTCCTTGCAGGAGTTGCAATTTCATCTCCACTCTTGAGTGTTTCATCAAGGCCCTCAATATCAGTACTTGTTGGTGCGTCTGTAGCATTTACTTCACCATTTAGCCTCTCCTCGGTTTCTTCCGAGATAAGACCCTCTTCATCAAGAGGCTCGATAAATGTCTGAAAATACCTTGATTCTTGGTGTATGTTAATCCAGTTACTTACTAGATCCACCCCAGCTGCTTTAGTTAAAGCTTCTGAATGAATGGCCAGATCTTCTGAATCGATGCTCAGAACTGGATCTTTGACTTTCTCCACAGGCTGTGATTTCAGTGAATGGGAAACAGATGAGCCACCATCATTATTTACAGAATTCACTTTCCTCTCCAAAGGTTCCACTGGATCACCATCCATTACTTCAGGAGCATCTCTACTTCTCAGTTCATTGTCAGTACCTTTCAGTTCTGACTCATTTGGTTCTTGTGCTTCGGCATCTGCCGAGACAATGTCATTTTCTGTATCCTTATTGATTGTCTCCTGTGTTCTCTGAGCGGTTACGTTTTCTATGAACGTTGTTGCAGATGTTTCTGATTCTTTATCAGCCTCTTCTTTGTCTGCTTTTTGATTGTCACTGGCCTGGTCCTCATGTTCATCACCCAATTGAGACTCTTTTTCTGAGGGAACAAGTTCAGCATCTGACTTGTTTTCAATCTCTTGCTCGTTGTCATCATGTTTTTCTTCTTCTTTCACATCTTTATCAGTTTCTGGCTTTTCATTATCATCTATAACTTCTTGAGCCCTATCACCAGTTGTCTCACCCTCTGATTTACCTTGCGTTTCCTCTTGGAGATATTCTTCTACCTTCTCAGCCTCCTCAAGACTGACGTCTTGTCTCTCTCCATTTTCAGCATCTAGCAGGTCATTATTCACCCCAGCAGGTTCATCCACTTCTTCCTTGGTACTGGCCTCTGTGTCATCATCGGGTGCCCCCCTCGAACCTACTTCATTTTGTTCTTCCTGTGAAACGGATTCTTCATTTTGGTTCTCAAAGTTGACCTCTAGTTTTTGGGCTGTATTTTCATCAGAAACGGCCTCTTCTTTTCCATCCCCTGCCTCTAAAGTATTCTCACTAATTTTGTTCATATCTGTCACCTCTTTCTTTGGCTCTTCTACCAACTTTTCACCCGTTTCTAGCTCATTCTCTACACAATTTCCATCTGCTCCCTCTGCCACCTCATCTATCTTCGTTCTCAAAGTTGACCTCTAGTTTTTGGGCTGTATTTTCATCAGAAACGGCCTCTTCTTTTCCATCCCCTGCCTCTAAAGTATTCTCACTAATTTTGTTCATATCTGTCACCTCTTTCTTTGGTTCTTCTACCAACTTTTCACCCGTTTCTAGCTCATTCTCTACACAATTTCCATCTGCTCCCTCTGCCACCTCATCTATCTTCTGGTCCTCCATCTCTGCTTCTTCTTCCGCTTTCTGAGCCCCATCTTCCATTGTTTTGTCTTTCACTTTTTCGGTTTCTCCTCCATTATCATCCTCACCGTTTGGCTTCTCTTGCCCTTCTTCCTCTGCCTCAACACTAAGTTTGTTTCTAACCTGTTCATCTTCTGTTTCGTTCTGTTCATCATCCTCTTTATCATTACCCTGTGTCCTTACATCTTGAACATCCTCTGACTCATTTTGTCTATTCCCAGCCTCACTAGACAGTTCTTCAGCTTCACCTTCTTTATGTTCATCATTCACACCATCTTCAAATTTTTCTGTACTGTCCTCATTTTCTTTCTCTTCTGCATTTAAATTGTCGCCACCCTCTAACTCATTTTCTTTCTCACCATCTTGGGTCTCTTCATCCCCAGGTTTCTCTGTCTCCTTTTTTCCCAGACTTTCACTTCTATTCTGAACCTCTAGCTTTTCTGCAGCTTCTTCCTCTGCCTTATCTTCACTAGATTTTTCTCCATCTTCCACCTTACCATCATCAACCTTGTCATCTGTCTCCTGTACCATTTCCCCAGTTGACCTATCAACCCCAGCCTCATCTGCTAGGTCTTCTCTTTCATCTCTGTCTGTCCGTCCATCGCTCCTCCTCTCTATGTTCTGATCTACGTCATCAGCATCTCGCTGCCTCTCAGTGTCACCTGCACCTGTTTCTGTACCATTCTCTGTCTGAGATGCCTGACCCTCTCCCTCCATCTCTGAAACCTCAGTGTCTGTATTTCCAGTGTCCAACGTTTCAGCATGTGTCTCTGGTTCTTGTACTAATGATTCTTTGTCTTTTTTAGACTCTGTATTAACCTCTGCATTTGTATCATCTCCATCCATAACTTTCTCCTCTGCCTCCTCAGTTTCAGTTTTTACTTCTTCTCTTTTATCTTGTTGTTCAGCCTCATTTGTACTCTCACTTTGTTCTTTCGCCCTGTCTAAACTTTCTGCTCCCTCCTGAGTCTCATCTATTTCTTGTACTTCTTCTTCTGTGTGGAAATTCGGTTCCTGTGCATTTGTCTCTTCTGCAGGCTGACACTTCACAACATTATCATGCGCCCTTTCCTCACACACAACTTCCTGTGTGTTGGCTTCACTTTCATCCAGAATGTCATCCGGTGTATTTGATGGTTGTGGCGAAGTGATTTCAGCCATTTCGGTTTCTGTAAAAGTGAGCATTTATAATTAAACCATTTCAGATTTATACATATTTACAAACACAAAACTGTCAATATTTTAATATAAATTTATACTCATTTGTTGTGTAAAAAATTTATCTTTACTAGTGCCATTTTGGAAATAAATAACAGAAAAGTCATTTGTCATCGAGCTTTATATGTTCTGTGGACTGTGTTAATTAAAAGACGATTTTTTTTTTTACCTTGGCCATCCTGTTGGGTCTTCACTGAGGCCCCTTCATCTTCCTCTGTGCTTGTATCACTAAACTCTGGCTCTGAACTACATTGAGATTCCTTCAAAATGGCCTCAGCCAGCTTCTCCTGCATTGACTTGGCTGTTTACAGTCACGGGGAATGAGACAGACATATGACATCCATAACAAAATGTTAATGTTACCTTGTGAATTAACTAAATGAATAACAGTCACAATTAGTGGGATGAATTTCATGTTAAACATATTTAGAAATGAAACATAGAAAGCAATGAAACCAAAATAATAGTGTAAATGAAACGTTTATTACCACAAACACAGCAAACCCTTTGATTGGAAACACAGCAAACCCTTTGATTGGGAACACAACATGCAGCAAACAATCACTTAAATGCTTTCACACAGGATGGGTGTCCAAAAAGGATCCATAATCGTCTCTGATGAGAATACACATGGATTTTACACAACACTTGAAGTGTACCAATTAAGCAAAACAGTGTTTTTAATCATGTGTGACAGAAAACAAATAAAAAATGGTTAGATGCACATTGATTCACACACACTGAAATCAGAAACTTAACACAAAATCACAAATAGAAAACACTGCTCTGTATTCCCAGCATTTAAACAAATCCACAAGAGCCAACACGTAATGCATACTACATAGATTGTTTATAGATTGCTTTGCAGTGCACTTGTCATATTATGAAATATAAGTAGCTCAAAAATAAGTCTAAACATTCTTGATGAATTGTGAAAGTCAAGACAGATCAGTTTATACAGAGCAGTATGCTTATGGAAACACACATAACATGCTATCAAAAAAACATTTGATGACACACAAACCAATCAATACAATGTTGTTTGCAAGACCACATAGAGTTAAACAAACTGGGCTCTCAGTGGTCTTGACAATTACACAGAGAATTATGTTACATATGTTCTGCTTTTAACACAATCAGAACTCGAGTAATTAGTGAGGTCATGTACTTGCAAAAAACGTAATTTCCTCTCCTCAGGTGAAGGCAAGTAAAGCTTTTCAGGTAATATTAGAGTAATAAAAGATGCTCAGTGTTTGCCTGTAGTGCCAATAAACAAAAATGTAAAAACAGATGTCTCTGCATATTAAGCTGTGTGATAGGAGAAAGTATTTTAACATCCAACAAATGACACTTCAGTTTTAATTAAAAATGCAGTGTGAAGTAACTGAACACTTTGTTTATCTTGCAGCAATCCCAGCTAGTTTATTTGTAAATAGCATAAAACAGACCCTCCAGTTCTGATGTTGTAAAAGCTATCATGAATAAACACAAAAGATCATGACAGGCACACAGCACTATTTTCATGCAGACACTCACCTCTCTCCGGCTCATTTTCTTGTGGCTTATCTTCAGGTTTGGCATCCTCCCCAGATTGCTCACCTTCAGTTCCCTCTTTCTTGTCTGTGTCTTCTGACATTTCCAGGTCGCTCTTTTCCATGCCATCCCCTGGACTATCCTGTGTCCCAGAGTCTTCCGCTGCAGCTTGAGGCAATGTAACATCGCTGGACTCTGTGGCCTCTGTCTCCTCTGGTTTGGTCTCAGCTGTGGTGAGAACTTCCTCTGCATGTATGCTCTCCTCTGGAACATCAGCAGTGGTGACTTCTTTTGTGTCCTCCACAATTTCTCTTTCACTATTGTCATTGTCACTGCTGGACAAGCTGGACGTTCGACCAGATGAGACAGATGATGACCTTTTGACCTCTGAAGGAAGAAGACAAATAATCTGTGAGTATTAGGTGTTTAAGAACACAGATAGTTCATATTACATGTTGACAAATGTTGCTGAAAAGTGTGACCTTAAAGTAATACGTACTAGACATACTGGCAACATCACTGTCAGAGTTGCTTTTCTCTTCATTTATATCATTTTCATTCCTGGTCTCAGTTTCTTTTTCTCCTCTATTAGCAGCAGGTGATGGATTTTCCTCTACTTCATCACCATCTTCAACTGGCCCTTCATCATCTGCCTCAAAGTCCTCCTCATAGTCTATATGAGAGCACAACATAAATGTTCATTTAAAGATGCATTAAAATAACTTTTGTGTATTTAACATTTTATCAGTATATGTGTTCTATGGGATTCAAACCCATGGCCTTGGTTTGCTAGAGTCATGCTCTACTGCTCTTCTACTACTAACTAAAGTAGATGAGACCATGTTTTTTAACCGGCATAGTACAATAGACCTGCAGAGGCATCAATTAAAGATTGTGTTTTTGAAATCAGCAAACTCATAGAGTTTGTACCGTCTTTGGTCTTTTTCTGTCGTGTTGTTTCTCCATTAGGTTCTGTCTCCATTTCCTGAGGCGTGTCAGGCTCTGCATTGGAATGTGTTTCTATATCTACATCTGTGGCCTCCTTAGCATCAGAGGATTTAGAGGTTGGCAGCTCCTCTTTCACTCTTTTTTGAGGAGGGGTGGGTTTTTTGTCCAAGCCCATAGCAATAATACACCTGAAGAATGGCATCGTACAAAACCATAATGCATCTTGATTAGTGGTTGACCAATGTGGGTTTTTTCAATAGCCAAAGCTAATAATGATAAATAGGGAGTGTGGTGGTCGGTAAGATTTTGTTAAAGTTGGTCAAAAACACAGTAAAAATAGTAATATTGTGAAATATTATTACAATTTATTTATATTACACTGTTTTATGTTATAATATATTTTAAAATACATTTTATTCCTGTGATAAAGCTGAATTTTCAGCAGCAATTATTCCAGTGTCTCATGATCCTTCAGAAATCATTCTGATATGCTTTTTGTGCTTCTTAATATTTTGGGGAATACACTTTTTTTATAACTTATTATTGTTATAAATGTATTTACTTTCACTTTTGATCAATATAGTGCATCTTTGCTGAATAAAAGTATTATTTAAAAAAAGACTTAGTGGCCCCAAACCTTTGAAAGGTAGTATGTACATATATAATTTAAATTTATATATACTGAAATACATTTTCATTACTTGTAGCATGGAGAGGCTCCTTCCACACCGCAAAATCCAAAGTGTCCATGTCTGCCCCCAAGCCGAGCACCTTTCCTGTGTTTGAACTCACAGCAGGAGCTGAGCCGATCCACTTGCAGGCCATTCAGGAAGAAGGTAAGACTGAAGGGAAATCCCTGGTGGCGTCTTGACACAAACTGGAACACTTCTACAAGTAAGGGTAAGCAAAGAAAGTGAATTTTAATTTGCCTTTGATGATTGTGTCTTATAATCAAAGAGGAGAATCACATAATATATGCATAATATATTCTAATATATGCAACACTACCAGGTAAGAGCCACTTATTATCAAAAAGCCCCCAGATCAATAGTGTAACTCAATTCATGGTGTCCTTAAAATATGAATTACAAAGCCCAGATGTACAGAGATCTACACTGACCTCCTTCTCTCAGCTTCCCTTTGTAGACACACAGGTTCTCTCCTCCACAGTGCTGCTGGAAGAGCTTCACTTCATCTCTGAGGTCCATCAGATCATGGGACAGGTGAACACTCTTCCCAAAGTACACCATGCTTACTAATACTTTACTCTGGGCTGATGTCCTCTGGAGAGAAGACGGCTGCAGAGGGAGGAATAGCATAGCGTATAACAGAATATTTGTAAGTGAAGGTTTATTTCAATGTAAATAACGTCAATATACTGACCTCTGTAGCAGCTGTTGGTGCCGTAGTGGGTCTTAACTTTCGACCCCTGAGTGTGCCGTTCGTTCTCAGCCCTCTTTCTTTTTTCTTTGTGAGGGGCGGCACAGGGGTCACATAATTGTTAATGACAGGAAGACGGTAGGGCGAAACAGTGCTAGAGAAGTCTGTTGTGGTCAACTGTTTCACGGCATCTCTGTCCAGCTATAAAACAACCCAGAGAGACAGAAATGTTAGCCATTATAGAGTTATTACTGCTCACTAAAACGTAACTACACTTAAAATCATAAAACAAATAAATGTTTGTTACTTGAAATAAACATTAACTAAAATATAAGAATATATATATATAACCTTTTTTTCAGCTAGTGCCATTTTAGTTTCTTATTTTAATATAGTTTATCGTGATGTACTAAAATAACTACAATTAAAAATTAATAAAAATATAGACACACACACATACAGTATATATATTCAAATGAAAAATTACAAAAACTTCTATATTAAAATAAAAAAGTAAATATAAAAATAAAAACTGATTCAAAATATTAATAAAAACTATAATAGTATCTTGATACTAAAATAACAATGCTCTAAAGTTGCTAGTTTATTGCTCTGGAGACCAGTGCTTATAAAACTTTGTTTTTCCTAAAAATCCGTATAAGAAATAAAACAAACAAATTGAGAAACAATTGTTGACTTGCAGTAAAATTAATTAAAAAGACTTTTGATTAATAAAAAAATACAATTATAAAAATCATGTGAATCATATCTTTGATAACTTGGTTTTATACGAATTTTATGAGCAATATTTATAATATTATTTATAATATTAATATCAAAATCTTTTGATTCTTTTAATACTTCAGCACAGCAGTATGCAAATTAGTAATATTAGACGTTTGAGTGTGATTTGTGCTTTGTAAGTGACCCGTGATAAGGGGCTTTGTAAGTGAACATGTATTAGGATCTCAAGATGGTCTCACTGTATAACTGAGGGGCTGATCGGTGTCATTGGAGGAGTCCCGGTCCCGGTCCCGGGGTCTGTGTCGAGGGGAGGTTCTTTTCAGAGAGGCCGTGGCACTGTTGCTGTTTAGGGGCTTAAGTCGAACAGGCCTCTGCATCTTCCCTGGAGCTGTGTTTGGCCTGGAGGAACTCGGCTACAGGAGTATGACAATAACTCACTTACCAAATTTGAAATATAATACCTGAATATACATGTTTGTGACATGTCCTACTAATGTAACACTTGTGCATTATAGAAAAGGAGTTATATATACAGTACACTAACATTAGTGTATTGTTATTTATTATGCAGTAAATACAAACCTCCAGTAAATAAATGTATTGTTGAAATAGATAAATAAATACAAAAATTCTGTCACAAAAATTCTAATCGCATTAATTACAAAATATTAATTTAAGTAACCAGTAAAA